TGTCTGTGTGTGTGTGTGTGTGTGTGTGTGTGTGTGTGTGTGTGTGTGTGTGTCTGTGTGTGTGTGCAGGTCCAGAGGAACTGCTGTCTGACGCTCTGTAACTTCAGTATTCCTGAGGAGCTGGAGTTCCAGTATCACAGAGTCAATCTGCTGCTGCTGAAGATCCTGGAGCCGGCGCGTCAGGACGAGTCCATCCAGCGCATCGCTGTCCATCTGTGTAACGCACTCGTCTGTCAGGTCGACAACGACCACAAAGAAGCCGTTGGCAAGATGGGATTCGTCAAGGTTGTGTGCTGCTCATTGAGCTCTGTGTGTTTGTGAAGTTGAGATGTTCGCTCTGGTTCTGGACAGTAATCTGTAATGTGCTGCATTTATGAAGCGATGGTTCACTCAAAAATTATCATTCTGTATATTCCCTCATCATTTTTGTCCATCCATTGAAAGTCTTGATAGTCAAGATTTTCAATCTTCCAAAAAAAGCTTATAATAACATCATAAAAGCAATCCATATGAATCGAGGAGTTTAATCCAAGTCTTCTGAGGAGAGACATTTCATCGCTTTATATGATGAACATTTAATTTAGGCTTTTATTCCCAACACTGAACCAGTAAGGTGTGTTTGAGCTTCTGTTTACTGTATTTGATGTGTTCTGTATATGTGGTCATATGTCTAATACCATCAGTGCATTTCTCATTAATGCTTTCAAAAAGGGAATAGCGTGTAACGCATAGCATCTGTGTCCATCTAATGCAGTGTTTCTCAACCCTGGTCCTGAGCGCCCCCCCAACACTGCACATTTTGTATGTCTCCCTTATCTGACACACCCATTTCAGGTCCTGGAGTTTCTTTTAATGAGCTAATGAGTTGAATCGGGTGTGTTTGATTAGGGAGACACACAAAATGTGCAGTGCTGGGGGGCGCCCAGGACCAGGGTTGAGAAACACTGATCTAATGGTTCGAATGGTTCTTGTCACAGACGATGCTGAATCTGATCCAGAAGAAGCTGCAGGACAGAATGGTGAGTCATTACCGAAACAGCCTCATCACTGATTCATTAGTGAGTCAGACTCATCACTGATTCATTAGTGAGTGAGACTCATCACTGATTCATTAGTGAGTGAGACTCATCACTGATTCATTAGTGAGTCAGACTCATCACTGATTCATTAGTGAGTCAGACTCATCACTGATTCATTAGTGAGTCAGACTCATCACTGATTCATTAGTGAGTCAGACTCATCACTGATTCATTAGTGAGTCAGACTCATCACTGATTCATTAGTGAGTCAGACTCATCACTGATTCATTAGTGAGTCAGACTCATCACTGATTCATTAGTGAGTCAGACTCATCACTGATTCATTAGTGAGTCAGACTCATCACTGATTCATTAGTGAGTCAGACTCATCACTGATTCATTAGTGAGTCAGACTCATCACTGATTCATTAGTGAGTCAGACTCATCACTGATTCATTAGTGAGTAAGACTCCTCGCTGATTCATTAGTGAGTCAGACTCATCACTGATTCATTAGTGAGTAAGACTCCTCGCTGATTCATTAGTGAGTCAGACTCATCACTGATTCATTAGTGAGTAAGACTCCTCGCTGATTCATTAGTGAGTCAGACTCATCGCTGATTCATTAGTGAGTCAGACTCATCGCTGATTCATTAGTGAGTCAGACTCATCGCTGATTCATTAGTGAGTAAGACTCCTCGCTGATTCATTAGTGAGTCAGACTCATCGCTGATTCATTAGTGAGTCAGACTCATCGCTGATTCATTAGTGAGTCAGACTCATCGCTGATTCATTCTGTTCATGACGCCTGTGCTAGTGTTATTTCAGTATCCCTGATATACTATTATAGTTTTGTTCATATTTAACATTTTTGTTTTCATTTTAATTTTAACTGCAGTTTCAGTAGTTTTATTGTGTTTTTGTCATTTTTATTCGTTTTTGTTTGTTTAGTTATTTTGCACTTCAACTTAAATTAAATGAATATGAGAAATATTGCCTTGGAAATAAAATAAGTGTACTTTTTAAACATTTAATTTCAAGTAATTTTATTTAAAGTAATAAAAATTGTTTTATTTTTTATATTTAATTTAATTTGTTATTATACATGTTATTACAAGTCATAAAAACATTTTTGTTTTTTGTACGAAGTAATGAATGTTTTTAATTGTATGTGATTCTGCTAATGGAAATGTTTTTCTGGTTTTAGTCAGAGTTAACGCTGGTGTGTGTGTGTTTAGTGTGATCAGGTAATGGAGTTCTCGTGGAGTGCGCTCTGGAACATCACAGACGAGACGCCTGATAACTGTCAGATGTTCCTGGAGTGTAACGGCATGAATCTCTTCCTGGATTGTCTGAAGGTCCGTTCATCACAGTTTTAGTGTATATATTGTATACGGCCGTCCCAAACGCAGCCTGAATAATGAATGATTGTCAGCAGAATCTCTGCTCCTCCCTCATCCGCTTGGTTTCTGCTCTCTCGCAGGAGTTTCCTGATAAGCAGGAGTTGCACCGTAACATGCTGGGGCTGCTGGGTAACGTGGCCGAAGTGAAGGCGCTGAGGCCGCAGCTGCTGACCAAGCAGTTCATCACGGTGTTCAGGTGTGAAGTGTTTCTCTGCACTTCATTGGCTCAGTGTTTGCTGTGTGAGTGTCTAACGGCGCGGCTCTGCTCGCAGTGAGCTGCTGGACAGTAAAGCGGACGGCATCGAGGTGTCCTATAATGCCTGCGGAGTCCTGTCACACATCATGTTCGACGGGCCGGAGGTCTGGACCATGGAGGAGCCCAGGAGGACACACGTCATGGACAAAATGTGGGCGGCCATCCAGAGCTGGGACGTCAGCTCGCGACGCAACATCAACTACAGGCACGTCAGAGTCCTTGGGGACATTTCATTTTGTGTTAATGCAAAGACCATAAAATTACTAGTATTTTTCTGTTCATAAATCTCTTTTACGCTAGGTACAAAAATAGTGACACTCCGGACCTTCGGGGCAAAAACATCCAATAAAATGCAGTATTGTGTTTTGAATGTGCCATGTTGGCATAACATCATGCTTTCTTTGTTAATAGGCTTCCATTCTGTTGACATGGCTTCAACATTTTTACCATTTTATATATCAGGGTGTTGTTTGTGTGATTGGTAAAAGTCAGAAAAAATAATGCATCAAAATTAATATTGTTTCTAATCGTTGACTTATCCTAGACTGTAATAATCCAGAACAAACTTCTGTGTAGTATTTAGTACATGGAAAATTATTTTTTCTGTGTTTTTTTTTTCATGAAAAAACAACAGGGGCATTATGTAAACAAACTGGCACTTACAGGGTTAAAATCTTGAAAATTCATGAAATTTTTGTAGGTCAAAACTGATGTTGGTTAAAAAATCTATGTAAGTGGAAAAATATTAATATATATTAATGTATAATATTTTTATGACTGTTTTATCCTCTAAGGACTGTAATTTTTTTTAAATGGACACACAAGGGTTAACATCATCACTGATTTGATTAATTAAATCATCTTAATGATATACAGGTTTGCCTGTCTAATGGCTGAGAAACTAAAGATATAAAATCAGACCAATGTCATCTGTTTAAAAGACATTTTTAACCTCGTCACTGAACTGTCTTTCTGTCTGTCATCTGTCTCTCTGTCATCTGTCTGTCTGTCGTCTGTCTCTCTGTCGTCTGTCTGTCGTCTGTCTCTCTGTCATCTGTCTGTCTGTC